TGCCAAATGGACTGACTGCAGGTGGGGATCCCTGTGGCCAAAGCTGTGAGACCTGGGGAAACCTGCTGTGTGGGCGACTTCTTCAGTTAGGCACCCAAGAAAGCAGACTCGGGCTTTTGGGGAGTAAATCCATGCCAGGACTAGAGATAGTAGGCCAAATTACACCAAAAGACTCTCTTTGTCTTTTCAAGATTCTTGGAAGCAAGTGAAGCATTGGAAGTTTCCAATCAGCAGTATTTGTAGAATCTGTTCTCAAGGGAAAATTCAAACTGACTCTTGCCAGTCCCCTGAAAGGCCAAGTTTCTTCTTATAACAGTTGGCTAAGAAATGCTCTGCTGATTGTAGATTATGCTCTTCTGTCTCCTTGCATCAGTACTCCATAAAGGAGAAAATTCTTCTTGCCAGCTCAGAGAACTCTAACCAAACTCAACTATTGTGGAAGTGATGAATATTTTTTCCAGACCCCTCCTTTTTCCAAGAATGATCTCTATGCATCCTCTGAAAATTCTGTTCAGAGAATCAGCACACAAGCAAACTACTACAGGAGGCCCTGTCTACAGGTGTTTTAGTGATACTAAAATGACAAAAGAACCACAAACCCTTGATTTTGGGCCATATTACCTTGGCCATTTTCACTCCTCTCTGCTCGGTGTGAACAAAGGAGAACACATCTAGCAACCAGAAGAAATTTAGTTACTAAATGACAGTAGATCTTAAAAAAGCATGTGTTCATTCCAATTTTTTAGTAACAAAATTTACATTATAAGAGCAGATAATTACGCATCTATCTCTCTCTGACATATGGCCACAAACTTAATTAAGCAAACAAAGAGGAAGAAGGAGAGGGTTTGCTGCAAATAATATCAACAGTGCTTCTTGAAAACATTCTTTTTTCCTTCTTTAACATAACAAATCTTTTAAGCTGTAATCATTTATACTCTTTTATATGAGTACCTGTTTGATTTCAAATTTTGTCATAATTGGTACAAAGCTTTAAAAATTATTGACTTCCAGTTATCTTTGGATCTTGCTGATAAGGGTAAATTCTTAAAATACTGTCAGAGAGCCTGCAAGATTTAGAAAGTAAAGCCTGATTTACAAGAGCTGAGAACCTAGACCTCATTTCCATAAGACAAGATGTCTGCTGTCATACCCATTTTGCAAATGATGTTTGTTGGGAGATGCTGAGATGCCGAAGTGACCCAGTTCTGTTCAGATATCACTGGCTTTGAAAATAGCCTCTTTAAACTCCTACATCTGACTATATTTGAAACTGTTACCCCCAAATTTTTTCATTCTTGTAGAACACTAACCAGAAGGTATTAATTTAAAAGAACTCAAGGTGACTCACAGAGCTTCTCCTTATGCATTGTTAATTTTCCCACTACCAAAAACGAGCTTTACACCTGGCTGCTATTATCTCAAAGTAGTCAAAGAATGTGGTAAATATTATCCATGTTTAATTTATTAAAAGCTGAGTCAAAGAACAGGTGTTGCTATTGTAAAGATTAATTTTGCAGCTCTTCTGCTCAGACTCATAAATTACAAACTCCGGGGCCCCCTCGACACTAAATCACACACACAACATCCACACAGATTTATTAACTTTAGGGTGAAAAATGATGTGCAATCTTGCCAGCTGCTCTGCCTACAAGCACTGGCATCAGCAGGTTTGCCAAGCCCCTCACCGACTCTCCACATCACCACTGGAGTTGTAAAAAAAGGCTCTACTTCGTCAGCAGCGGCACCTCCACACTTTCTGCTTGCCAGTGAGACTCAGATATAACCTTAGACGGGGATGATAACATTCTAATTGTTATTTTTAATAACATGCATCATTATCAGAGCTCAGATACAGGAAGTATTGCTTTGACCAAACATTTCTGTTCTACTCCTTTAGCTATATTAGTAGAACACTGACTTCCTATAACGGGCGCAGCAGTTAGTTACCTACACCACAGTTCACAAAGGGAAAGTCCTGTTTAACTAATTTGATATCCTTCTATGATAAGGTCATCTGCCTGGTGGATGAAGGAAAAGCAGTGGGTGTAGTTTTTTATGGATTTTAGTAAGGCTTTTGATACTGTCCCTCATAGCATCCTTCTGGACAAGTTGTCCAACTGTGGCATGAGTGGGCTCTTGGTCCGCTGAATGAAGAACCATCTGAAGGGCAGAGCTCAAAGGGTTGGAGTGAATGGGGCTACCAGCGGTGCTCCTCAGGGTTCGGTTCTAGGGCCAGTTCTGTTCAATATATTTATCAATGAGCTGGATGCAGGAGTTGAATGCACCATTACAAGTTTGTGGATGATACCAAGCTGGGAGGTGCTGTTGACTCTCTTGAGGGACAGGAGGTCTTGCAGAAGAATCTAGATAGATTGGAGCATTGGACAATGGTTAATGGGATGAAATAGGATAAAGTCCAAATGCTGATTCTGGGCTTAGGATGGAGTAATGCCAGGCACAAGTAAAAACTGGGAGTGGAGTGGCTGGGGATCAGCCCTGTGGAAAGGGATCTGGGGGTGCTGGTCGACAGCAGGGTCAATAGCAGCCAGCAGTGCCCTGGTAGCCAAGAGGGCAAACTGCATCCTGGGGGGCTTCCAACCCAGTATAACCAGCTGGTGAAAAGAGGTGATTGTCCTGCTGTGTTCAGCCTTGGTGTGGCCTCACCTGGAGTACTGTGTGCTCTTCTGGGCCCACAAATTCAGAAGGATGTGAAGGTCCTTGAATGTGTCCAGATGATGGCAGCAAAGCAGGTGAAAGGGCTGGAAGGAATGTCCTATGAGGAGCGGGTTTAGGACTTTGGGTTTGTCTAGTTTGGAGAAAAGGAGGCTGAGGGGTGGCCTCATGACTCTTTACAGCTTCCTGAGGAGGGGAAGAGGAGAGGGAGGTGCTGAACTCTTCTCCCTGGGATCCTGAGGAGGGGAAGTGGAGAAGGAGGTGCTGAGCCCTTTTCTCTGGGATCCAGGGATAGGATGTGTGGGAATGGTCCAAAGCTGCAGTAGGGGAGGTTCAGGCTGGGCATTAGGAAGCATTTCCTTACTGAGAGGGTGGTCAAACACTGGAAATGACTTCCTAGAGAGGAGGTCAATGTTCCAGACCTGTCAGTGTTTAAGAGGCATTTGGGCAATGCCTTTAACAACATGCTTTAACTTTTGGTAAAACTGTAGAAGGTAGCTTACAGCTACCTTCTTTCCCTTTTCTGTTCTCAGTGCCATCAGATCAAGGAAAAACAATAGTTATTTGTTAGGCAACAACCATCTCTACTGATCTGGTGGTAGGACTGAAACTTTTACCTATAATTTACCACTCCATCACACTGGGCAGTGAAAATGATCTACCAGGATTCTTGGACTCTTACAGCATAGGATCTTGGATGCTCAGAGGTCCCTGCACCCATGTAATTCAGGTACAGCAGCCACAAAAGAAACATGCTGTACATCTGACGCGTCCTGAAGCACCAGGCTCCCTGATTACACAATTAACACCAGTCTGTGTTTGCACAGCCAGTCCTACCAATGTTTGCAGGGCTGTAAATTCACCAAAGAAAACACAGAGGAAAATTCACTTGCACAGAAAAGGCAGCTACCAGGTTTTCCCTCTGGCCACCTAAAGTGACCAAAGATAAGGGAAGGGTTCAGGTGCAAGTCAAACTGGACTTACTGGCTCTGGATTAAAATCAGCTAGACACACAGAACTTCATTTTAACACTGTGCTAGTGTTAAAAAAACACATGCCCTTCAGTATGTAAACTGAAATAGTCAAACCCCAGGCTATATATGGATTTGTGAAACTGATATATGGATAGAAAACTCTTCATTTTTTAAGTGGCATAATTTTGAAATATGTTCTTTTTATCTGGTATAATTATTATCAAATATTATTAATCATTAATCCCTTACATGACTCTTCCATTCTGAGAAGTAATTGGCTTTGTTATTTTAACTGTGCATGTTTAAAGCAGTTTTAGTAGAAGGCATTAAGTTTTCTAAACATGCCAATTAAATGATCTGATCTTTTCAAGTATATCATCTTAAAACATGTTAGGAAATAGTTTGTATATTCACCCTTGCAGATCACAAAGCTACCATGAATTAAAACAGAAAATGCAAAGCATTTAATATTTTCAGCAAGATTATTTACAGGCACCTTGTAGGCAGATAGAACTTGCTACAGTCTTAATGTATTGCAATTTATAGCATGTTACTTGTTCCTACTTGTTGTCTCATTTCATTTATAATCCTGCTGACCTTTGCTTTCACGATTAGACAACCACTTCAAAGAGTGTAGGATATTAAGGATTACTTGTGTGGTTAAGAATTTTTTTTTTATTTTATTTTCAAACAAAGCAATTCAAAAGAATGCAGGGATTTATAATCCTGCTGACCTTTGCTTTCACGATTAGACAACCACTTCAAAGAGTGTAGGATATTAAGTATTACTTGTGTGGTTAAGAATTTATTTTTTTTATTTTATTTTCAAACAAAGGAATTCAAAAATAGAGATAATGAAGTCAGAGGCCTGAGGAGGAAGGCTCTACTTTTCAGAATTGTTGGGGTTTTTGTGAGGTTTTGTTTTTTTGGGGGTTTTTTTGCTGTCCTGAGGAGGAAGGCTCTACTTTTCAGAATTACTGGGGTTTTTTTGTGAGGTTTGTTTTTTGGGGTTTTTTTGCTGGTCAATACAGACTTACTAAACAGAGTATCTATTTCAACTTCACACCGCTTCTCTGGAACAGCTACTTTAACACATCAGGACAAATTGTTTCACTTAGCAGAGTAAACTGTGGTCTGCAAGCACTTTGTCATTGTTCAGTGACTGCGGGAAAGCTTACGTAAATCAATCCCCCAAAGCTCAGCCCTCAAACAAATGAGTAATCGGTACTTATGAGAAAAGCTCCCATGAGCAGGCATGACATCTTCACAGGATTTGAAGATATGAAAGAGAGAAGTACAAGGGTTTGAGGGTTTTTTGACATATTATCTAATCCTAACACATATACTTACATTTGTCTTGGTCAGCTTCCACTCCTTCACTTTCTGTGTCACTCGGCAGTATCCAAGGTTGATGAGCAAGCTGAAGCTGTTGTAAGAATTCATCCTGCCACAAACAGATCTATTTTAGATAAAATGACAGAGAATGGTTCTATATAAATGCAGACTGTAGCAAACGCTCTAGTCTCAATTAACTAGAGAGGAGAAAGCCTTTAATAAAAAAAAAATATTTTGCTGTGAAATAAAACCAGAATGTAGAGGATATACAGACTCCCTAGAAATTTATTATTATTATTATTTAGTTCTATTTTATATATCTATTCTGGCAAAAAATAGTCTCTTTAGCTATCTATCTGCTATAGTCACAGACATATACATAGTAATCCTAGAAATGCAGTGACAGACAAAAATCTTAATGCAAATATTGCATCTGTCCCTGCAGTTTTTGGACTATGCCTATACATGGCACACACCATTTTTTTAAGTCAAGCCTTGATTTGTCAGAACTTTCACTGTTTCCAGTCTAGTAAGAATGGGGACCTGAAACTTGATTTAGAACCTATGGTTTTATTAGAGAAGGAGAAAGCCTAGGAAGGAAAGAATCCTATGGAAACTTTTGTCTCCAAGATACCATAAAACTCTAAGCATCAAAATATGAATGTTTCACACAGCTAAAAATCCATACGGAGCTGAATATATGCTTTAAAAAATGTTTTATAATTGCATCCTTTTTTATATAATGTATATATGTATGTATATAAAAATATTTTTTCCATACACACACGTGAGCACATACACACACAGACATATAAAATACTTTGACAGATTCCTTTGCAATATTCATGGTAAGAGATGAGACTGGAACGCATAGTTTTATTCTCAAAAGCAGTTCAAAGACGCAAGTCTAGTCTCTAACAGAGAACATAAACATTGGCCAGATATCATAAAATTACTGGCCAGATTCTTATAAGTACCTGGAAAAAAAGGGGGGAAGTAATACTGCTGTCTTCTGTTACACCAGCTGAAAATCAGCATCTAGATATTCAAAGTTAAATTGCATTTAAACAGCATAATTTTTATTGTTAGGCTACCTGTTTTTTTATTGTTAGGCTACCTGCTTTTTTTAGTGTTAGGCTATCTGGTTAAAAAACAGAAACCAGGCTTGTTTAAATCAGTTCTTGGAGACAGCTGGTTGTTCAGTCAACATCCAACTCACTGGGAGTAAATTATTAATTGTGTCAGTAATCTGTTAAAAAAATCCACAAAGAACTGCTGCAATGGCCCAGCATCAAGCTCAGGCAGGAGCTCCAGGACTTACACATGTGTCTTGCCATTTCAAATGTGCTCAGTGCTCGAGAAGGTTGCTGACTGCAACCTACAGAACTGGGCAAAGTGGTTTGGTTCCCAAAACAGGTTTCTTGCAGGAGCAGCGAGTGGCTCCCGCCCCGATCAGCACGCTTTGTAATCCTCCAAAAAAAGCATGAAGCAAAGAACTGACCCCGGCAGCAGAACGGAATGGAAGTATCTGACCAAAAAAGAAAGTCCTCGTCACATAAAGTTATGTTCTATACTCTGGGAAGCAGGAGGAAAACTTGTGTTAATCAATGCTGTACTCAAATAAACTGAAATTTCTCTCTGTTAACAATGACAGACCAATAAAGATTACTGAATACCACTTTATACTATCTGGACAAATAAAGTGATTGTAAAATTCCAAGTGTTCAGAAGATGAAATGGCAAACGAGGGAGTCAGTAGTATTTTCATCTCAACAGCTATTGATAACCATCACAGAATGGTGTCACTTTAATGGAATCCATCCTAAAGAGATAAGCAGGATTCAACATTCCTTTGTCAATTTATACAAAACACCAAAGGATAAGGTATATGCATAAAAGGATCTCTGCCAAAGGATTTGGAACCCTGATTTATTAGTTTTATAGAGATAATAAAACTATTTCTCTTGGTAGCATTTCTTTGCTATAATTCAATTCAGCCTTGAACAGAGCTGATAATAAAACACACCTGTTAGAACTTTGTAATATTATGTGTGCCAAGAGGCAGAAACTCGCCCACAGAATCTCAGTTCATAAGTCTTGAGCATTAAAAAACCCCAAAACATTCTTAACAGCTGATATGTTAAGTACTTGCCAAATTATTTAAGATTTGTGCTATAACAAGATTAAACCATCCTGAGCATGAATTTTACTACCACTTGAGAAGAACACAGAATTGTATTTGTCAGTAATATTTTTGTATTTTAGACTTGTTGTGTTACTCTGAAACATATGACAAACTAGTAAGCATACATAAGGCATTGAGAGATACATGAAAATTCCTCATAAATAAACAACTGACAGCACACACAGTGTAAATCCATGCAGATTCTGAATTCTTTAATTCAAGATCCTTATGCTAAAACATGCTCCTGGTACCCAGCAACTGCATCCTTTTCAACCAATTTATTCAGAAAAAATATTTATCAAATTTGTAATGGTTAATTCCATTAACACCATCTAAGAGTAAGGAAGCAGAACTATTTGCAAAATCATAGTATCTTCGGTAGGACTGGGAATGTAACCACAGTGTATTTGCATCTACTGGAGACTCCACGTTCACACCATAAGTCTAAGAAGAATAAAGGCACTTTCCCTTCTTTTATTTTACTGTTTTTATACAGGAAGAGGATACAAAACCTACAATGAAAGTTGCAAAATAATTTACAGTATCAGCCTTGAGTTTTATGTTTGTGATCCGTAAAAGTACAAAGAAAGACAGAACCTTGTTGTTCTACCCCAGGCCACCTTTGACTTTTTAAAATTCATCTCCATGGTCTGAGAGAAGCCGTTACACAAGAGAAGGAAATCACATGGGCACAAATAGGGGGACACCTCTAACCTGGCAAAAAGTGTTACTGAATAGATATGCTTCCTGGGTATGTTCTGTCTAAACCTAGTTCTCTAAGTGACTGGGAACTTCAGTGGGCAAAGACAGCTTAAAAGAGCTCCCAAAGTTGCCAGTAGAACACTCCAACCACAGAGCTGCAAGTGGCAGATTGGTCACCTCCCCCATCAGCCACTCTCTGACATCCGAGGGGACCTTTACAGCTTGACAGAGGAAGGTCTTTGGGACGAACAGATCATATTAGCAGTTTTCCCCTTGGAAGCAGAGCTAGTCCCAAGATGAGTTTCCATTAAGTCAAAGGTCACTTGTGCGTGTCAGGAAGGGATAAATAGGGTTTGAGCTGGGTCACCGGCAGCCAACGCACTATTGTACCCAGTGAGCAAAAAGCAAGAAAAGAATTTGTCACTTCTAGAAGGGATTATAATAGAGGATAAGATCCTGTATAGAAACGCTGAGATTTAACGCCAGCATTACAGTGGGCTTGCTGGATGAAACTGGACACGCCATTCTAACTGTAAAACAGAGTAATACTGCTCATTTCTTACTGTTCTTGAGACATATATATACATATATTAAAAGTATACCAGGACACTTGTTGTAAGAGCTATTGGTAAAGCTCGGGATTTGGCAAACAGAAGTAACAAGTCACAGCAAATGAAATGGGACTCATTATTAGTATAACTACAAAAAGGCTATGGAATAAAGCATTTTTAGTTGCCTGCCTTGTTACAGGAAAGATCAGAAGCAATGGACAGACTGGACATCCCTTGGTGGAGACACAGTGCTCATACCATGGCACTTTCAGGGGTCTATACAATAATTCTAGTTGGCATCACATAACTAGGTATCAGTTAAGAACAGGACTGCTTAAAAAGAAAGAAAGAAAAAGAGGAGCCAAGTGTTTAGTGGGAAAAAATGAAACACTTAATTTCTTCTAAACATTTTTAGCTGGAAATGAATTTCAATTCTCATTTTGTGGTATGTGAGAAAATTCCAACACACAAACCGAAACCCCTCAAAACAGGAGACAAAGGGGTTTTTGCTTGTCAGGAAAGAAATTTGTTACAACTGCATATTTTTTTACATGGAAAACTTCTGATTTGAAAATATATCATCTGTCAGTGAAGATACTTTCAACAGAACTATAGTCACCTTCAGTCCTCATGTTTTTAAGGTGGATATCCAATTGTAGGTGAAGAAGTAGCTAAAGTGATTAGATTAGCGCACTGCCATTCAAACACCAAAATTAGGATATTTTTTTTTTCCGTGACCAGATTTAAGTAAGATTTCCTCCACATATTCTTTAGAGTTATCTGTGCCTCGTTTCCTTTCTTTCATAATAAATAATGGAGGCCATATACTTAGTTGCAAGATTATGCTAAGTACCAAATACCTAATTTTCCTACAAGCAAGTCTAAAGAGTATTATTATAAACAACACTTTTTCATTTTTTAAAAAAGTCATTAGACTATAATACATTGTGCCAAGTGTCATACCCAACAGATTTTTAAAGCAAATGATACTTCTTAGAAATTATTATCTAAAGGTATGATTTTTTTTCAGTCTTGGAAAAAAGCTCTCCGGGCTTTGACAAATGGGTTACAAAGAGATTGGTAGGAAATGGTGGGAAATGACTTATTCGACCATTAAAAAATTACCAATCTAGACATATAGGTCCTTCTCAAGTCTGTATATAAGGACTGACACTTCCTGAGAAAAAACTCACCTTTGTAAGGCATGTATCTGAGAGAGAGAGAGCGGGGCTGCTCTTTCACAGGTGCTTTGATTTCCACTGCCTGCGCACTGAAGTTATCTTTAAGGCAGCTAAGGTTGGCAGAGGAGAATCCCACTCCAAATTTACAAGGTACTTCAACTTTTTGTTCTGTTCTGCTTTAAATAAAGACTAATCCTGTGAAAGCCATTAATATGGGAGGGGAAGTGTTTATGTTCTGCATCAGCCTAGTTAACATGCACATAGTACTAGAGAGTGTTTCAATGATCTTGGACATTTTCTCATTGCAGATCAGTTTTGTGTTTCGGAAAATTTGTCCGGTCCGCTACGTCTAACTAATCATACCAATGTGTCCAAAAAATGCAAAAAAAAGCAGACCAAGGACCCCAAAAAAAAAAATAAAAAATCCTGGAATCATAAAGATAAGATAAAGTTCTGCTTAATATTCCAGAGGTATGCACCTCTTGGAAACTGTAAGGCTAATAAAACTGCTATGCACCACGCAGGCAAAAACCTACAGAGCTCATGGAAAATTTGGAGGCAGGAGTGTTTGAGTATGATTTCTGTACTAATCCTGACATCCTCTAATCAGTACCTCTCAAAACTGAGCAGTATTTCCTTGCTAATTTTCTCATCATTATATTTCAAGTTCTTCTCAGAGCAATAAGTTACATTAGGTATACCGATGTTACTTCAACATAAAACACAACCTAGTCTTCATGTTATAGCAGCTCTTAAAAATTGCAAAAAAACATTAAATTGAAAATCTTACTTCTGATAAACTGCTTCTCTGAGTAGTGACAGTTCCAACAATGTCTCCACTCATTTGCACAGAAAGCCCTGAAGCAGCGCTGAGGGTCCTCCCCATTTGGCTCTTAGATGTCAAAGATCTGCTTCTTTGCATACTAATGATGCCTTCCCTATTTCCTTGGTTGCTAGGGGTAAGAGGCCGTGACAGCAAGCTATTCGGGGTCACAGGCCTGCTCCCCGGCGTTGATGGAGTCGGTGGCCTGTTGGCTTGTGTACCGGGTGTTGGAGGCCTACTGTTTGTGACACTGGAGACCAGTGTCCTGCTGTTGGTGGGCAGCGGTGGTGATTTGTTTCCTTGGAGCAGAATGTTCTTCCCTGTCGGAGTTGGCACCTGAGGCCTCGGATTTTGGCCCTGGGTAGCTTGAAGACTGCCTTGATGGTCAGGTGTAACTAAACTATGATGTTGGACAGTAGGGCTTCTTGAGAGCCTTGCTTCTTCCCATAGTGCTAGATCCTTTTCAATATCTGTGCACACACACACAAAGAAAGAAGAAAAGAAAGACAGAAACTCACTTTCTGTTTCTCTCTGGTTTAAAACTCATTGATTTTCTCCACTGCAAGCGACAAACTGAAGCTGTGCAGAGAAAATCTATTCACCCTTAAAATATAAGGCATTCGAATTAAGAGTTTGAATGTTTGACAACCATTTCCTCAAAGTTTATTTATATTTGATTTACTGCAAACAGAGCCATCCCACAGAAACTAAATATTACCACTTCATTGAACATCAATTCAACCTGTAAAAAATCCCTCTCATTTCTTCAAAGTTATCTCTCTGTAGCATTTGCACAGTTTCTCATCAGTGTCACACCAATATGGAGCAGTGAGCTGAACTTGCCATCCTCAGCTGCAGTGAATCACAGAATCAGAGAATCACAGAATGATATGGGGTTGGAAGGGACCTCTGGAGATCATCCAGTCCAACCCCCTGCCAGAGCAGGGTCACCCAGAGCAGGTCCCACAGGAACGTGTCCAGGTGGGGTTGAATGTCTCCAGAGAAGGAGATTCCACAAGAGTGAAGGGCAATCCAAAACTATTTCAAGGCAAGGCTTTTGCTTCTGGCCATGCTGTCTCTTGCCCAACAAAAATTCTGGGGGAAACAATCCTTGAACTCTAGCACATCTGGATCTGTGATCCTGTTTGAATCTGAATTTTGTGCTCTGGCCTGCCTTTAGTGCCAAAGCAGGTGACAGGGTCACCAACACCTAGAATCTAAGGAGAAAAGGTGGCCACCGTTTGGTGGTCCAGTCACCCCACACCTGACACAACCATAAGGAATAAGACACTTTAAAAGCAGAACAGATCAGGAGTAGTGATGAAAAATATCTTCCAAATTCATTTAAATTGTATTAATGCTCCTGATGAATTAAATCAGACACATCCAACAATGTTAGGTGAGGGGAGCTGGGATTTAGGTTAGCATTGCTAACATTCTAAAAGTCCTTGCAAGTAAAAGTTTAAGGAACAGTTTACTCAAGTTTATTTTATCTTTCACAATTGTTACGGATTTTCACTCTCACTGGTATGTACTCTACTGTAACTTGGTTGTGATATGGCTGGTTGGTTATCTTTAGAAAAACAATGTCATTTCCCATTAAACTCTGTAAGTCACAGCCTCAGAAGCTGTAAATCAGCAAGGTTTTATTTATTGAAACACCTATTAATTGAACTATATAAAAATAGCATTTAATTTTTATTTTCATAACAATAACTTCAGGTTCTAAAAGTCCTAAAAGATTCTCAACTGCATGTTGTTCTTTCACTTATGTTTACCAGTAAGTATAGAAGGAATGCTGTACGTAAAATAATTAAAGAAGTGCTGCCTTAACATTAACTTATATTACAATAACACCTTGGAAACGGAAATAAGTTATGTTAATTCCACGTTACTAGTCTAATACAAGATATTCTACACATTTCAAATGTTGTTACTAGAAAAGCTGGTAAAACTGAAATAGTTCTGAAAGCCTCAGATAAAAGTGTCTCTCAACTCTTTAATCATTAAGTGTTTTGCTGTTAGCAAATTTCAAAACATAGCTATTGTTTCTAGCAAACGGTTAAAAATATTTCTAATTTCTGCTTTGTTGGTCTCTTAAAATTAATTTCTTTCATTTTGAAATAATTGTCTTGAAGTTCTTTTCCATTATGCTTTTTAAAAAAAAAATCAATACACATCACTTTGGAACTTGTAAAAGCCTGGCAAAAATTCAGGGGCCAATAAATGACAATGTGGGCTAGCCAATTTAAACCAAATGAGGAACATGTTCTTCTAAAGATTCAGCTTAGCCTATGTCTTTGAAATATTACAGACCTCTAAATTCCTCATGAAGATCCAGAATGCTAAGAAATTATCTGAATATTGCATGTTCTAGTAAGAGTTAGAAAGACATTTTATTCTGGCTCATGCTTCCTTAATTCCACATAGTAAACAAGCCTGCAGATAAACCAATTATTCTAATAATTTCTCCACATGTAATTAAAATGTTTCCATATTGTAATTATTCCATTTTATTTTGCACACATCCTCTTTTTGATTGTGCTTCAATACCAGCTTTTCAAGCAGAAAGAAAAGAAAAAAAAAATCACTCGTCTCCAGCTTTACAGTATTATCTGATCCATAGTAAATACAAGAATTGAATTATGACTTAGGATTTTTTAAATCCCGTGTCAATGTCATTTAAAGGAAAATAAAATGCAGGCAACAGAGCAACACAATGGCATTTTACTTTCATATCAGAAATAGCAGAATAAGGATAGAAGATAAGGATAATGCACTCACAAACTGTTTATGCATTTAACAGTTCTTATTGTGATAAAATATATTCTGGAAGTATCCAATGATCACAGAATCAGTGAAACAAACCAAACTGGCAAGACAGTGGAATTAACTACTAAAAATAAAATAAATATATATTCTCCACTTGCCTGTGATATAAAGCAGCCACAATAACACAAGAGACCGGATCTTAGAGAAAAGTACCACGAGCCATATAGAGAAGGAAAAGAAAACCAATTGCTTCAGTATCTGATTTTGTAAAAATGCTGCTTTCAAATATCAAGGTACTGAGGCAGTTGCTGGCAGGTTGTGCGAGTCCCTAATTTAGGCACAGGCACCAAATTGTGCCTTATGTCAGGGGCGAGTCTCATCCAGCAGGTAGTCCCTAAGAGAAAGTTAGGATCCTTAAGAAGCTGTATCTGAGGCAGGGGACCACATTTCATCATCACACAGGCAACCCAAGTCATAATTCGGGCACCTGAATGACCTCCTAGTGTCGGGTAGAACTGATGGTAAGAGAACTGAAACGAGGAGACTTGCTGCTATCAGAGACACTTGAACTTCTGCACAAGTATGAGACAAATAAGGCTAACCAAAAACACAGCATTATTATCTGAGCTGATTCTTCATGGAAATTCCGTTATGGTTGTCTGTGAGGGCGATAATTGTCTCAAAAAGCACTGGTGTTATAATAGGACATGAATTATTAGGAATACAAGAGTCCAATGTCTAATAATTGGGCTTTTTTCTTGTGAATTTCTCAGGCAGACAAAAATTACTGAATGGCAGAACGAGTGAACCCCATGTTACAGTGCTACTGAAATAACGGGCCCAAGGCCAAATGACAACAGCAGCATTGATGTGAGAGAGAAGACCTTGTAGGTCACACAACAACAGACTGAACCTCAGAGACTAAGCGAATGTAGCTAGTTAGCTTATGGTCAATTAAGTACTTAAAATTCCATATTCTGTTGAATATAGTGCTGCTGTCAGCTTTGTCAAGAGAGATCTAAAGGCACTGCATGTTTCAGAGCACACTGCAGACAAGAACAGCTTGTACAACCATGGAAGCGTGACCAGTTAGGACATGAATCAAAGTAGAGCCATCTTCAGCAGACCCCTCCTGAGCAACAACAGCATGGGAAGGCGAGTGTCTCTGGGGTGTTCAGGTCCTTGCTACACCCCAGAACCCTGCTGAGCACAGCTCGGCCCACTGGTCTCCTGCTTCCTACTAGATGTTCCTGGCAGCTTCACCTTGGAGAGAGGGCTCATGGATTTCAGTTTAGTTTGGCAGTGGCTACACCTCTAATAGCTACAGTGACTTGAACCTGTCCAAAAAAATGGAATGACAGTATCTCTGTTGTCAGAAACAAAATGTCTTAATTTGTAGATATCATCATTTTCAGTTCTTGTTCCATTCCAAGCAAAAACTTTTTCTAAGGTGCTTCCTTCATTGTGTTCACAGCTTTGTCTTCTCCCTTGACCCCAACTGCCACAGCCCTTGGAGAGAAGTGCAAGAGCTCTACCTCTCTCTATGGAGGATACAGCTCCCAAACCTTTCACACCAATATTATTGGTAGCATAAATGTCCAAAGTCTTTCAGAAGATCACACTGAAAGTGCTAACTTCTCTACCTCAATCTCCAAATTACTTGAAAGAAGGGTCAGATAAAATTCATTTCTCCCTCCACCTTTCATAGAGTTGGCCCATGAGGTGCAGTTTTCACCATATGATAAATAACATGCATAATATAGGACTACCATCCTATAGGTCTGTCACACCTTATGACTAAAGCTGAAGATAAGAAAATATTGATTGCAAAGAATAAATTTCAGACCTAGGATATCCCTTGTTAGTTTATATAGAGCTCTGAAACACATTTTCACATTTTCAGTTTATATAGAGCTCTGAAACACATTTTCACTGAAAAAAAAAGGGCTTTTTTGTTTGACCTTTTAGAAATGGTTACTCCATCAAAGAGGTGCAGATGTTCCACTGCATGCAAGTCAACAGACTTCACTTAATCAGAAGTCTCAGGAACAAGATGGGCTTTTCCTGCAAAGTGATCTATTCTCACCCTAAAGGTCCACTGTGGCCTCTCCTAAAGACTACACAACTGCAGGTGAAGCATCAGTCCCTCCTCATCACGTGTCTTGGTGAGATGGGAAAACAAAAAGAGGTGCATTTTTGAGCTGCCAGACTGCAGTATATTTAACACAGTTTAATTACCGTTTAATTACCGTATTTACTGTGATTACAGCAAAGTTCATTACCTCTACAAACACAACAGCAATTGTGCTGTTTCTCCTCAATGAGGAAAAAGGGAATTTTAAAGTTCTTATCTGTTTTCATCAGCACATGAGACACATCATTTTTTCCTTCGTCTGAATATCAGCAGATATTCATATTTAGATATTCATTCATCTGAATATCAGCAGAGCTGGCTGGGTGAGCAGTGCTGGACAGTTTATGATCCCATGCTACCATACATACCAGCCAGGTGTTTTTCCATGGTCTGAAGTTCTTTTGCTGCTAAGGAGTCCTTTAAGAGGTTCTGCCTTGGGGAACCTCCAGGTCTGACATCCATGGCATCCAGAGTCCAAACTGTTTGAGACTGACACAGATAAAAAGAAAAGGGAATACTTTTAATCTGGTTTCACATGTACATGTGAAAAAATTAAAAAAAATATTTATGTCCTCATTTAGAAGAGTGAATCTGGTGCTTTTTATGTAGAATATATAACATTATGTGAATTATAAAATATCATGTCTTACCTTAAATAACATGAATAACAGACATTACTTAAAATCAACAGTTCTAAAAGACTTCAAATATATACCTTCATGCAAGCTCTTGTTCCATGCTGAGACATCGTACCAGGACAAATTCTTCCATGATTTCCACTCTGTACGGTTCCAGTTACTTAGTGGGGGTTGCACTTACTTTAAATTACCATAACACTTGGCACCATATCTCTGCAAAGCAGCGCTTCTGAGAATATCACAGAACTTCCTAATCAAAATTGCCAGTGCTGTTTTATCACTGCAAGAAGTATTCCTTTCAGGAACAGCAACTAAATCATCAGGGCAACACAGCAGTTTGGAAGGGATGCCAGCAAACACCTCCCCAGTCGCTTCACTGTTGAGCACTGAGGTATTCAAAATTATCTCCATTCTCTGGAAGCCACTCAATACAGTTTCAAGAAATGGTTTTAAAATATAATAAGACACAGCTACAAAGACATAAAGAGTTTGTGTTCAGGTCTAGATGTAGCACAGATGTATAAATTCTATCTAAGAACAAATATTAATCTTCTATAGAATAAAAACCAAGCACCAGTTTCAAGAAATGGTTTTAAAATATAATATGAGGTAAACTTGTCTTTTCAGTGCTTATTTGAAAGAAGCAAAAAATATTTGACCGAGTGTGCAACATTTGGTCATAAAAACAACAAACAAAAACATTAATTAAAGCATTCTTAACAACTTATCTGAAATAAATTCTGTATTATTACCTCACCAACACATTTCATCTGTAGTTAAAGGGGTTTTGTGGATTTGTCATTCCCCTCTTACCAATTTCTTAATCTTTTGGTAAATGTCAAACAAATTTAGAGAGAGGCCACAGTTTCAAAGACATTAAGCTGATGCAATTTCAGGGAGAAGAATGATTGAGGAGGGAGACCCAAACTTTCAAGGAAAGCACAGAGGGCTCCACTGCTACAGGGTTCTGCTGGGCTGGAACGGTGTCACCAGCAGACACGTGGGTTGCTGCAGAACCATAGAATGGTTTGGGTTAGAAGGAACCTTAAAGATCATCGAGTTCCAACCCCCTGCCATGGTCAGGGACACCTCCCACCAGACCAGATAATGGTATTTTCCTGGATGGACACTCATGTCATAGGGAAAGGTGCATCAGAGCATCACAGCTCAAAGGATGAACACGAAAATACAGGTTTGATATCATCTCGATTCACAAACAATTTGCTTTAACCAAAAACACTAAACAAAACACAGTAGCTGACTTCATTTTTAAGGAAAAGTAAGCATAATTCTACAGAAGTAAAATGTTACATGAAATATATTTTATATCATTTTTAATCTGTTCCAAATAAACACTGCTTTGTATAGAATCATAGAATTGCCTGGGTTGGGAGGGACCTTTCAGATCATCTAATCCAACCACCAACCCAACACTGACAAAACACATCACTAAACCACGTCTCTAAGCACTATGGCTGCCCATCTCTTAAATACCTCCAGGGACAGTGACCCCACCACTTCCCTGGGCAGCCCATTCCAAATCTTAATAACCCTTTCAGTGTAAAAATTGTTCCTAATCTCCAATCTGAACCTCCCCTGGTGCAACTTGAGGCCGTTTCCTCTTGTCCCATGGCCTGTTCCTTGGGAGAAGAGCCCGACCCCCCCTGGCTACACCCTCCTTTCAGGGAGTTGGAGAGAGCGAGAAGGTCTCCCCTCAGCCTCCTTTTCTCCAGGCTGAACACCCCCAGCTCCCTCAGCTGCTCCTCACAAGACTTGTGCTCCAGACCCCTCACCAGCTCCGTTGCCCTTCTCTGGACCCGCTCCAGCACCTCAGTGTCTTTTTTGTCATGTATACAACTGATCATTGTGAACCATATATCTTTAAAATGCATTAACACAGATTCATATTTATAAAGCAATAGTCACACTGTAGTGCTGCACATTCATATATAAAAAAGCCTGGATATATTTACCAGCATACAAAATAGTTTGAAGCTGCAGATAATTCTGTTGTTATTAACTCACAACACTTTTAGAATACTAATGACATGTTTGGATTTGTCAATTGTTTTCTACACTAGTACTGCTCTGGTTAAAGTTACCTATATTTAATCCCAGGTAAATACACAGGAACAGCTGAATAAAACAGTAAATTACCCAGAAGAGGATCTGATCCTGCAAACACATTTATTTCAGATGTATCACTAGGCCTGATTCACCTCTTCCTCCAAGAGATTCAGAGCATTTGTCACTCCAGTCCTCACTGTGAATTCTCCATCCAAATCATAAACTGGCTTGTTGAGGTCACTACAGAATATTAATCTGTATTAAATTACATGTCTAAATGTTTATTGCTCTAATAGATATTAGTTACCCAATACCCACCTCTAGATGGAAGAACATTTTATGCTGTGAACAGTTCCTCTAAAATAAACAAAACTAAATAAAAGATGGGAAGGGGGAATAGAGCCTGTACCAAAACTCTAATATTTTAATTTTCAATCTGTTTTTAAATATACTCTCGTTCCCAGACTTTTATGGTAGAAAAAGGTCTTTTTTATATACATTATATAGTGTATATTTTCATAAGGGGGGAAAAAACAGCAGGACTTCAATCATGACTACAGGGGAAAAAATCCCCAAGGTTATAAGGATGAATCCCTTTTGAATATACAATTTCATGCACAAATACAACTCTGATGAAATATGGAATAAAAACTAGTTTGTGGTCTATGATAATACTTGAAACCAAACTGCTCTTCCAATATTCTTAACTCTGACTATTCAAGTTTATCATAAGCAAATTATTATGGGTTATACATATGGGTATTATACCTCCCTAACCCCTGAAAACACAGAGTTCCAAATGTTAGCCTGGTGAAAAGGTTTCATTCTCTATGTCCTATTTTCTGGAAATGAAATGGAGTTATTTTTCTCTTCTACAAACCTCTACTGTTTCTCCTTACATTCTGCCTTTTCCTTTCTGTACCTCGTTCCTTTAAGCACATACAACTACGGTGACTGTATAAAGTCAGCTCCCTACTGCCTGTAGTAGAATCTAAGACAAATGGAGAAAAATGGTTCTTTAATGGCAGTAATCATGATAGGGCTTTAGATGTTTATAAAAATATGACTAATGTTTAAATTAAATCACTTGCAATTGGGAGACTCCACATCCCAAACATCATCAAACATCAGCAATATCTTTGTATATTTCAATATAGGTTTTAAAATCTTACAGAAGTTCATGTAAAACATAGATATGCCTGAGTATAAGCATATAAGGGAACACAAAGGCAGGTACACACAGGTATTTAATAAACATTTGTGTCTGCCTCCATTCTGTTAAGACACAGCTACAAAGACATAAAGAGTTTGTGTTCAGGTCTAGATGTAGCACAGATGTATAAATCCTATCTAAGAACAAATATTAATCTTGTATATAATTAAAACCAAGCATGTTTACATATATGCAGTCTCTACCATTACATATTGTAATTGTATGTTCAAACTCCCTTTCAGGTACACAGTTCCAACACGCTGTGAAATTATTGAGGTAACTTTGGACAAATCTTTTCTCTGAATTTTGTAACTCTTCCTGTGTATTTTTCTGTTCTATGTAACATCATAAGCTTATGGCATTTTGTCAGACAATAGCTTCACAAAATACCACAGCAGTATTACAATACTAGTTACAGAAGATGTGATATTTAAGATTAGCAATTTAATTTAATGATAAATTATGTGCTTATAATAGTGCCTTACAATTAAGCACTTACTAGATAGAAAGTAATAATGATCTGGGAAAAAAAAAAGGTTTAAGATTTTTTTAAGACATTAAAACTTTAGTATAACCACTTTTTATTCCTTCTCTGAAGCTAGATATTTCAGGGCTATAACCAACAACATTTTTGAAGGCAGGCTCACATAAAGTTTTTTTCTATATATCTAAATAATACTGAATATCAAAAAAAATTTTAAAGTACTTTGAAACTATGAGTTCATCTATGTGAATAATGCATAAACACAGACAGAAGTCCTCTGGCACGCAATTTATGCAACAGCTTTTTTCCTAAAAGATAAGCACAAGCTGAAAGTAGGGGATGTTATCAAGGAGGCTTTGGAAGCCTGTCAGTTCAAACGCAAGGAAAAATGGATTTGTAGAGCTCCAGCAGAATTCGCTGGTGCCCCTTCTCTCCACTAGATGAATGGCAGCACTTCAGATATGTCATTTAAGAAAGAGATTCAGGCTTGCAAGTCATTTCTTTAAACCTTCTTTATTCCACTTCACCAAACCCTATCCTTTGTCTACTGGCCAGGAATTGCAGAGATAAAACACTAATGTCAGTTAACTTGGACTTTAATGATAATGACAGTAGACTGAATGTAGTTGAAAAATATAGCATATATGTATGAAATATGTGCATAGAAGTCCTTCCAATCCCTTCAGCATCTTCCAAACTACAATTGCCCTTGATCATCCATTCAGCTTTATAAATATCATCACAACATTTATAAATGGCCAATTTACATTAACAAGACCAAGAAGATCTAAACATGAGGATGTTCCTGAAAGACATCCTTGTCTTTCTAACTTGTAGAAACAGTTCTGGGCCCTGTTCATCACCTTCAAACTTTGAAGGTGAGGCAATGCCTCTTTGTGCCAGAAATATGTTCAAACAAAGCCCTCAGGATACATTTGTCAGCCTTTACGATCAACAAAGTGGCTTTCTTTACATATCATCCTAATTTCTTCACATACAATACATTCATTAATGCTTTCTTTACTTAGATCACTTAGCCAAATTACTGCTAAAATAAAAAATTACAAACAGTAAAGCCAAAGGTAAT